ATAACCCAAGAGACATTGAATCCAGTCTCCCATTTGCGAATGAATTTCGACGAACGTGGCTAAAAACAAGCAATGATTTTTTTTTTTTTTTTTTTTTTTTGCTCTGAACAAGCAATGTACTTGAGCAAATATAATTGACAAAATAAAAATAAAAAAAATAAATATTCATGCAAAACATGATAAATTATGTATTACGTATGAGAGTCCCAAAAGATAATGAGCTCGTTTTGCGGTAAATATGAGGTCGTATTCCTCCATCAGCTAGTGCGTAGCAAAAATTCTGAGGCGAAAAAAAAAGCACATAAACTGTTTGAGAAGATGCATCCAAGAAAGCGTGATTTTCATGGGGAAGGGATTAACAAAAATAACATAAATACAATAACAACAACAAGTTTTAATCCCAACTTAATTAAGATCAGTTATATGGATTTCACTTTTTCACACAACTCTGTTCGAAATTAAACTCTCCTGAATGCCTAGACCTAGAATGTCTTTCCTAACGACTTCAGTCCACGTAATTCTTAGTCTACCCCTCCCTCTCCTAGTATTAGGTATAAGAATATCCTCCCAAGCACGAACTAGTGCTTCTAGCGGTCTACGTTGGACATGCCCGTACCACCTCAAGCGGCCTTCGTGCACCTTATCTTCTATTGGTGCTACACCTACTTTACTACGAATAACTTCATTCCTTATGCGATCCATTCTCGTATGACCACTCATCCATCTTGACATACGCATTTCTGCCACACTCATCTTAGATATATGTTGTCTCTTAATGGCCCAACATTCACTACCATATAACATAGCTGAGCGGATTACAGTCCTATAAAACTTTCCTTTCAACTTAATAGGCATCTTGTCATCACATAAAACTCTCGTAGCATTCTTCCACTTAACCCACCCTGCCTTAATCCTATGTTGAGTATCCTCTTCTATATCTTCTTCGTACTGCACTATAGACCCAAGGTACCTAAACTTTCTAGAAGCTTCAATCTCCACCCCATCTAAAAAAATTTCACCACTTTGATTACTTGAGTTACTAAACCTATAATGCATGTATTCAGTTTTCGTCCTACTTAACTTAAATCCCTTCGTCTCGAGAGTATGTCTCTACAGTTCTAACTTACGGTTAACTCCTTCCTTATGTTCATCCACTAAAACTATATTATCCGTAAAAAGCATACACCAAGGAACTCTATCTTAGATTTCTCTTGTCAGCTCATCCATCACGATGGTGAAAAGATAAGGACTAAGAGCAGATCCTTGATGAATGCCGATCCGAATGGTGAACTCTGCCGTGTAGCCTCTAGCAGTTCTCACACTCGTGACCACCCTAACATACATGTCCTTAATTACCTTAATATACCTCATATGCACTCCTCTCTTTTCTAGCACCCACCATAAAACTTTCCTTAGCACCCTATCATATGCCTTTTCTAAATCTATAAAAATCATATGTAAGTTCGTCTTGACTTCTATGTACCTTTCCATCAGCATCCTAAGAAGAAAAATGGTTTCCGTGATTGATATGCCTGGCATGAAGCCAAATTGGTTACCTAAGATGGTAGTTATGGCCCTTAATTTTCTTTCGATAACTCTCTCCCAAAGTTTCATAGTGTGGCTTATTAACTTTATACCCCTATAATTGTTACAATTCAGCACATCTCCTTTGTTCTTGAAGATGAGGACAAGAATACTTTTCCTCCATGCATCAGGCATATGCTTCTTCTTTAGTATCTCATTAAAAAGCTTAGTGAGCTACACAATTCCAGCATCTCCTAACGCCATCCAAACCTCTATTGGAATATCATCTGGCCCACATGCCTTTCCCTTTCTTATCTTCCGTAGTGCAGTTTTAACTTTTGAGACTCTGATTCCTCTTATATACATCACATTAGGTTCTCCTTGTGACCTAAGATTGTCAAACTCTATCGCATGATCGTCATTATAAAGCTTCTCAAAGTAACTCATCCACCTTTCCCTAATGTCTTTATCTCTTGTCAGAACTTGATCCATATCATCCTTAACACACTTCACTTGATTTAGGTCATGACACTTCCTTTCTCTTATCTTAGCTAGTTTGTATATATCCTTCTCTCATTCTCTAGTCTCAAGGTTTCTATATACCTCATCTAAGTAGAACGAGCCTTACCAACTGCTCTCTTAGCTTCTTTCTTTGCTTCTTTGTACTTATTAAAAGTTTCAACATCCTTACGCTTTGGTAAATCTCTATATAAATCTCTCTTGGTCATAATAGCCTTTTGAACTTCCTCACTCCACCACCAGGTTTCTTTCCCAGGGGGACCTTTACCTCTAGATTCCCCTAGTACCTCCTTTGCCACTTTTCTAATGTAACTGGCCATGACATCCCACATAGTATTTACATCACCTACATATGACCAAGTAGCCTCATCTAACAACTTCTCTTTAAAGGCCAATTGTTTTATTCCCTTCAAATGCCACCAACGAATTCGTGGGAGGGGGTTTATCTTAATCCTTCTATAGCAAAGCTTAATGCTCACATCTCAGATCACTAATCTATGTTGGGTGGCTAGTACTTCTCCAGGAATTACTTTACAATTCTTACATAGAGAACGATCTCTATACATGGTGAGAAAATAATCTATATGACTTAAGTTCCTTCCATTCTTAAAAGTTATCAAGTGAGAATCTCTTTTCTTGAAAAATGTGTTTGTTATGATAAAATCATGTCCCAACGCAAATTCCAAAATATATTTTCCTTCTTTATTTCGAGCTTCAAAACCAAAACCACCATGGATCCTTTCGAAGTTTTTCCTATCCTTACCAACATGCCCATTGAAATCTACTCCAATGAAAATGCTATCCTCATTGCCTATACGACACATCATCCATGTCTTCCTAGAACTTAACTTTAGTTTCCGCATCCAATCCTATTTGTGGAGCGTAAGCACTAATTACATAGATGAACTTATTTCCTAGTACCAATTTGAGCATAATAATTCCATCCCCTATTCGCTTAATCTCAACTACGTCATCCTTCACTGTTTTGTCCACTAAAATACCAACTCCATTGTGATTCCTTTCCCAACCTGTATACCATAACTTGTGTCTTAAATTTTCAATCTCTTTTGCTTTCTCTCCTGTCCACTTCGTTTCCAGTAAGCATAAAATGTTAATTTTTCTTCTTACCATAACATCTACTAACTCCATAGATTTACTCGTTAAATAACCTACATTTCAACTACCTAAACGAATTTTCCTATCATGGGTTGGCTCTGCCCCTTGCACACGTCCATGAATGTGCAAGGACTCCCCTTGCATATTTTTCACCATATCCGGGGCCTGACATGGTACATGGGCTCGCTTTTCTCCCCACACACGTTCATGAATGTGCGAAAACCCCCTTGCCTATTTAACACTATACCCGGGGCTCGGCATAGCGTGTCGCACGTAGGGAACGTCCCAATAGATTTTATGTGAGTGATTTATTTTTACGCTGGCCGTCAACCTATCACAACTCTTCTCCTTTATCCGGACTTGGGACCGGCTATATAAACGCATAGGCGGAATTAAAACAACATAAATAATTATAAAAAAAAGAGGCTGAAACAAAAAGCTAACCCGTTGTCTAAGGCAGGAAGAGAAAATGTCCTTCATAATCTTGCGATATCAATCTTTACGGTGCTGCGCAGCGCTTATCCTTCTTCTGTGCGTGTATAGGACACTTGGTAGGCCAAGCTACTGACTTTCTCTCAAAAACTTTGAACGTTATTTCACGCTAAAATCACGAATAGGGCAGTTTCTTAGTAGCTTTAATTCAAACCCAAAAAGTATATTATTTTGTTGACTTGCAACCAAATTAAAATTCTTTTGCAACTAAAAATTAGTAGCCAAAAATAAAAATCTTTTGCAACCAAAAAATTTAATTCCAAAAGGCCTATAATTTAGAGTCCTGTTAGGCTAGCACGACTTGATTTGTGACCAAATTAAAGTCTTTTTGCGACCAAAAATTAGTAGCAAAAAAGTAGAAATCATTTGCAACCAAAGAAATTTGGTCGCAAAAAAAAGTTGTTGCGACCAACTGTTTAGTTGCAGAAAACTTTTTTTTTTTTTGGTCTCAGAGTAAAATTTCATACCTTTTATGATTATAACTTTTAGCAACTAAAATCTTGGTTGCAAAAGGGAAATTTAGTTCGGTTGCAAAAAAAACTTTCGGCAACCAAGCAACAGCGACCAAAAATTTGGTCACAAAAAAAACTTTCAGCGACCAAAAGACACAAGTAGCCACTACATTTTTTATCGCAAAAAATCATTTTTCTTGTAGTGATATAATAATCAATAAAACGTGTTTTTTTCCTTTTTATTTCTTTATATATGTATATATGTGCACCAATGAGAGGTCGATATGCCCTAATAAAGAAACTGATCAGTATACTTGAAGCAGAAGCTTTCGGCACAATGAGAGCTACTTTAGTAACTTTTAGGTCTCGTTCATTTCACCGATTCGAGTTTTCAGTTTTAGATTTCTACAGTAAAAGGCTCTCAGAAAATGTCACATCTAACTTTTTCTGCTATAGTGAAAAGCTCTCAAAAAATGTCACATCTCAGCTCGAATTAAAAACTCGAATCCGCGAAGTGAACGAGACCTTAGTGTATCATGAACACAAAGGCCATTTGGCAAAGCTTTTATTTTTGCTTTTTAACCAATAGAAAAAGAGGAATGAAAGTTGTGGTTTTTCAATAAGTGTTTGAAACGAATAGTTTAATAGGTCAAAATAATTTTAAAAATGTATTGAAACGAAGAGTTTAATAGGTCAAAATAATTTTTAAATTTTTTTAATAAGCAATAAAAGTATTTGAATTAAGTTTATAATGCTTTATGAAAGTTTGATATAAATTTTTTTTAGAAGTCTCATTTTGTGACTTTGATTGGAAACTCTTTTAAAAAGTTGGAGCAAACAACTTTTGGACCTAGGAAGCTAAAAATAGTATTTAAGAAGCTCTCCCAAATAGGCACAAAAGGTTCCAAAGCCCTAAAAATTAAAATAATATAATTAATTAAAAAAACATACAAAGTTGATGCTTGTCTGCACCAAACTTCCTTTCCAGTATTTACAAAATTCCAAAAACAAAGTACTTGTACAGCTGCATTATTTTTCTTTCTTTTTAGTGCATGATTACTCATTGCTTAGCCTATCTTTAATGCCTCAAACATTTCTTCATGATGCTGCTTTCTCAATTGTAACATTGCAGCCTATGATGCATCAGAAATGTGTAGCCTTCCAAGCTTTGTGGTGTAATTTGGAGCCAAATTCTTTACTTTGTTGTAATCTGAGCAATGTCGACTAATATCTTATGTAAAGCCTGAGGCCTCGAGAAAAAAGGTGAATGATCGGAGCCCTTAATTCGAAAAAATTGCTCAGGAGGATTCGAATCGATCATAGTCTCTTGTAAAGCAGCGGTTATGGCATGATCTTCTGATGTTACTATGTAGAAACGCCGAACGGAGCCATAGTTGGCATCAGAAAGAGAGAGCTTCTCCATAACCGGTGCAAAAGGGATAGGCCTCATTGATACCGATGCCAAGGCAACATCCTGAAAATTTGAAGCATCATAAAAAAATCTAGTATATGAATTATTGTGTTCTTTCTTTTTTCCAAATTTGTGTAGTAGTAATGGAATGTTATGAGTTACCTTAGACGGACTTTGATTGAAGAATAGATCTTTGACCAATTCTTTGTTGTGATCAATGGCTGTGGGGAGATGATCTTTCCCATTAGCAAACAAAAATATCTGTGCCTGCTGCATCAGATCATTTGGCCCTATCTGCAATAGGCCAACAACACAAGGAATTAGCTCACTATGTATTCGAAGCTAAATTAAACCCATGCCCCTACCCCCCCCCAAAAAAAAAAAAAAAAATATATATATATATATATATATCTAAGAAACCATAATTTCATACTAAACTGACATATCAAGCTAGAAACTAATAATTTTTTAGAGAGGGTATCAATTGCTTTTGTTATAAATTCATTTTATGTCAGTGGGGTCGGATTCTACAACATTTGATGGTGTTGTAGGTTTTAAGGACTGTTTTGAAACAATAAAAGAATGGAAAAGCAGAGAGGAGTATAACATATATTTTGTGTCTAAAGGCAAATTCCGACAAGGTTGCAGATTTTGTGCATACTTTAAGGTAGTATTATTTTATTCCTTAATTTTTTTTTTCTTTATTCTTCTTTTTGTGTCCAGAATCATGGCGGAAAACGAACCTGTCTAGAAAACAAATCGAGGGTGCTCTGCCCACTGGCCAACATTGTTGCAGCAACAAAAATGGCTTTTGCAATTCTGGTTGGAAATAACTCCATCGCATATGATATACAGGCGCCACCAAAATCATGTCCCACCAGAATTACCTACACTTAGCCAACAACCAACATTTCTATTTTTCATCAGCTTGCAGCAAACTATGGTAGAGATATTCTTGAGTTCAACCTATCACTAATAGAATTTTTCAACGTTTTACATAAAAAACCGTAAAAGAACACGCCAAAACTACAGTATGACCTTTTTTTTTCCCTATCATAATGTGATAATAGACAAATTAATCTAAACTATTAAAATTTAAAGTGCTTTTGTCAGGTGAGACCCAACAATAAAAAATTTCTAAGAGTATACATATTTTTACTCTCATCCAACGCCTGAAAAAGCATTGCAAGGTGGCAGACTGTAGTTTGATTCTAAAGATCATTTGCAATCTCAAGTAAGAGAGAGAAAGAGAAAGTACAAACCTTCTTCCCATCCTCTAGTTTCTCAAGGATGTCAGTTAGTGGCTTCACATATTGTGCAAGACTTGTGATGCTATTTGTATCAGAAGAATGGACTCCAGAACCTGTTAAGTCCACCGCATCAACTCTAAAGCCTCTTTCCAACAACAGTGTCATAGTTTTATACCAACACCAAGCACCAAATCCACCTCCATGAACAAGAATAAAATGATTGGTTTCTAGGCCCTCAGTGCTCTTTGGATCCTGTAAATTAGAAAAAAGAAGGTTATTAGTTCAAAAAAGTGACAGAATGGCCACATATGTTAGGATGATTCCAACTTTCTATCATTATCCCTCTAAGAGAATAAAAAGATAAACAAAAGTTCCCTCCTCCTCCTCCATCGGAAGCGAGTGCAAAATTTGCTGGTAGGCTAAGCCTGCAACCTCTAATCTTACTCTTTTTTGTACATGGGAATATAGTTAGGCGAATATAAAACTACCACATCTCAACAATGGAGATGAGTGCAGATTTACCGCTAGGATAAGCCAGCAACTACTAATGTCACTCTTTTTCTACTAAAACTTCAAGGTGAAAAGGATTTAAGATTTTTGTTGGATTGAACTTATGTAAAATCAAGATCAGTATTCAGCTCAAGAAAATGAATAATTTTCTCTAGTATTAATTCAGTCAAGAGCACAATAAAAAGTTCTTTGAAGTCCAAATGATGTAGGGATTTTAGTAATAGAGGCAACTTCATCATTTAGTCATTAACCATAATCCCCAAAAGTAGACCATATCCAAAAATCTTTAACATTTATATATATCTTTAGTGCACGCTTGGATATAAATCACAAACCAATATAAATAATGATGCATCCGTTGAACTGTTCAATCTCATCTCACCAAATTCCGTGACACAACTTATAAGATTGAAATAAATGAGAAATGACCTGAACATTTCGTGTATATTTAATATATATATATATTTATATACATACATATATACATACATATGTGTATGCATATACGTATAACACACTCACGTGTCTAACGAGATTATTCAAGGTTGCTATTGGTGGGTGAAACTGATAATTTGGCCGACTTGGTCAAAAACTACTCCGTGGATGCACATAAAGGATAAAGAAAGAAGAACAGAAAAAGGAAAGAAAATACAAAAAGATCATAATTGCCATGAATTTTCTCATTTTCTCAACCAAAAAGAAAAGAAAATAAATTCCAAATAAGAAGGAGATGAAAAAACAAAAATCAAAACTATTAAAGCAAGCTTGCTCTTCACAGAAACCAATATTTGTGTGTGTGAGAGGGAGATTAAATCAAAATTTATGACAACGCATTTAAAAACATCCATAGCAAAACAAAACAGGAGGAGAAAAAATAAAAGCAGAACAAAACAGGAAAAAGAAAAGAAAAGAAAAACTCAGTAGGATATATATTAAGGGCTTGTTTAGCATCAATTTCAACCATCTTTTGTTTTCAAAAAAAAAAAAAATTTGTTGCCCAACAAAAAATAACAACTCAAGGAAAAATAATTAGAAAAAACAAAAAACTGACCAGAGAAGTGACAAGCTCTCGAGGGTGAAGAACAGACGTCTTGTCAGAAGCGAAGCGTTGGCGAGAAGTACTGGAGCTCCTGGGAAAGGGCTGCTTCTTCCCCGCAGGAGAGGGATAAACGACGGAGGTCGACCGGCTCATATACGGCTCCGAATTGCCGTTCTTCTGGTATTCCCGGAACAGCAGAGCCGCCGCCAACGCCTGTTGCTTAAGGGCCAAGTCATCCTCATCTCCGGTCACGCTCTGATGATCATGATCGTGATCATGATTTTTCTGCCTCTGCTTCTTCGTCGAACGGCTCGACAGTGGCGGTTTCTTGGAGTTCTGTCTTTGTAAGTTCATCACCTCCTTGTGTGGGGAGAAACATACCAATGAGTTCCCCATCTTGCTTCTATATCAGCTGTATCTATATATGTACGACTCTATAGTCTTTGTATATATTTATGTGAGTGTGTCTGCGTTGAGCTTCTGTGTACGTAAGAAGTGATAGAGAGAGGGTGTTATATCTCTAATGATTTTACATGGAAGGGTAAAAGTATTGAATCATCTAAAACGATGTAAGAAATAATTCTGTAAATGCATGTTTCATATTGGAGGATAAAGAACGTCCACCTTTATTTTGTAAAGTCAAAATTTTGGGGAGGAAAATTTTGGTTAAAAATTGTGTACTAATAAATGTCAACGAGACTTTCTTGGTGTGTGATGGAAATTACATGAGAAGGGTAGTGACCAAAGATTAAACTATACGACATCAGTCTCGTATTGTAACTGTAAACAAGTTGTGCTTATCACAAAACTAAAAAAATAACAATAAACATGTTTTTATATGATTTATGGAAGTCGGCGGCTGGCCAAGTGTCTCCCACTTAGTGGACCATGGGGGCACATTTTTAATTTTCGGATAATTAAGAGTTAGGCGGGCATGACAAAGAAGACTTTCAAACGAATAAAATTCTAATAACAACCGTTTAAGAATTTTGAAAGAAAAAAAAAAGGATGAAAAAATATTGCCATCGGTCACACGGTGGGGAAAAGAACCATTTTCTTTAGAAGGAAATTACAAATGGTGATTGTGGGAATGTTCTGTTTCAAAACACAAATTTTTTTTTTTTATTAATGGGATTTTAATATTTAGAGAATGTCGATGAAGGGAACGAAAAGTTTGACAAAGCCTATTGGTGAACCGATCTTTCCCACACCTGTTGGTAAAAGTTTTTAGATAGTGACAATAGTTTTATATAAACAACTGACATTGTTAACAATGTGCGTGGTGAGAAAATTGGATTTAGAAAACGGAACACTACAGAAAAGGATGTCATGTTTAGACTTTTCCCACTTATATATATGAAGGCTTCTTCAATAACCAGATATTCTTCTGTGACCTCCCTTTTCCATTATTTTGATTTTGATTTAACCCAAGTTTAATGCAAAAGATGATTTAAGCACTGTGGCAATATTTGTCTCTCATTTGTGCCCAATTATTGATGTACTTTTCTTTTGCCCATTTCCTCATTGATGACTCAGAAACTGCCATAATTGACCGGCTGGCCAATCCAAAAACTAATAATAAGAAGGTACTCAAGTTCTTTGGTTTTGACATTTGCATAGAAGGCAGAGTAAATATTAAATTTATGCCTGGTGTTGGTAGTCAAAAACTTGCAGTTTGAAAAATTCAAAGGGAACTAATCAGATTGCTTGACAAGTTTTGCATTTTCTTCCAGTCAAGCATGTATGGATTGCTGGCTTCAATTTCGTCCGAGAAATCAGGACAGAACATGGCTTTACAGTTTCGGCTCCATAATAAGATACATCACGGCATAACGCCAAGCCCCAACATTATATATTCCTAAGAAAACCAACTCTCAGTTAATGCAAAGTCGAATTTGACCTGTCCGCCAAATTAAGCTGCATTCTTCAGCTCAAACTTGTAGGCTGTCTGAAGGCAACTAAATTTATAGGAGTTTCAACAAGGATTCCAACAGCTTTGGTCCCAAACTTGTTCTTGTGGGATAAAACGACACCTTTCCGTTTCATCTCATTGTTTGATGTAATGTCGCAACAAGACACGCGCCACTACTTCTTTCAGAAAATTCATCTCCCTCTGTATACAGCAAATGGCGGAACAAGATTCACCAATTGGGAAGCTCTGCAAAATCCCAATAGTTCCCACTTCTGTACCAGAAGGGAAAATCGAAATAATTGGAATATGAGCGGAGTAACCATCAAAATCCAAGTAGAGAGATACATAAAAAAGTCAACTTTAACAATTGAACAAACGATTAAAGGGGGTAAAAGAATGCGTATTCTCAAGTCACTTGTTTCTAGTGATGTGGTAAAGAAACCAGTCTAAAATCTGGAGAAATGGTCCAAAAAGTTACGTGGCATTAGAGATAAGGTCAGAACCTTCTCCATGCCCACGAACATCAGTAGAAGAAACTAGGAGAAACAATCCAACACAGTTATCTGGGATTACATTTGAGAATTATGCTCATGATACGATTAACACCCACCAGATGGAGATTCTAGAAATGATTGAACGAGATTACCTGTTAGTATTGTCGTCACAGAAGCTCAACTGTGCATGGTATAAAATTGAGGAGCCAGCTCAGTTAACCACAAGTAATCGATTCTCGTTACGTTGCGTATGTACTTGTGATTAGTTTGGACTAGTTCGTTGTAAATTATGCAATCAGGTTTTGCCCGAAATAGCACAGAAGAGGGGTGGATCTGCACTACCTGACCACTTGCCAAAGCCCTGCCATTTTTGGTAGGTCAACGTGAGAAGACTTGATATAGAGATTATAGAGAGTGATGAACATGAACATAATTATAATGACTTGGGAAACCTTGGCCAATAAAACCGCTTGGGTTACAACAAAAATCTAGTACCTGTATGTCCCCTCAGGCTGCTTTAAAGCAGCATTCAGGAAAAACGAAGCAGCAAGACATCTGCGAAACTGAAGCATGTCATCTCCACATGAGGAAACATGAAGACCCATTTGTAAAACATGTCCTTGAATTTGGCTGCGAAAGATTACACATTAAGCTGAGTAAATTATGGACTCACTGCAAGGACCTTTCAAGAGCATAACGTAAGCCTCTACAAAATCAATAGAAAAATATTCGTCAAACACAAACTTGAGTAACCTACCTGTGAATATCGCGAGCGTGCCTCAGGGAGCGACTATTGATAAAATTTTCCTTGCACCATTTTCTGAGCCCCTTGTCAACTTTTTCTTTGCCAAGACTCAAATTTCTCTTTTCCAAAAACTCATTAGATGCTCGATATACATTAATCAGGGTGAGATGATCTCCCTCTGGACTTGAAAAGCATTTCATCGCGGTTCTTGCCTAGCCAGCGTAACAAACATATTCTTTTTATGAGATGAAACTTTTTATTAAATGAAAAAGGAAAACCTATAGAAACTTCGAGGATAAGCAATACTCGAGAAACAACCACTGACCAACACACACACACACACACCAAAAAGATAATAATAACAATAATAATAATAATTTCAAAAAATCAAAAAATGTGTACACACTACACCTTACTTTAAAATTAGGCTGTTGTGCTTTTACTTATGAAATCATATAGACTAAGAAAACTGAGTCATCTGAATCATAAATTGTTTCCTCAGAAGTAAAATCTCGATAAATAACAAAAACATCTAAAAATAATATTTTCTGTGCACACACCTCATCTAACTTCTCACGAGGAGCATAAAATATAGATTCCACTGAAAGCATTGCCACAGTAATCAACATTTCTTCCAAGCACTTGGACTCACTAGCTAGAATAAGAGCCTTGGAATAAATAGGGTCTAAAGGAAGCCGTGCCATTTGATGACCAACTGGATCTGAGAGTTTACATTCATCTGTTAGGGCACCTAGCAAAAACAACTGCTCCAATGATTTGACAATAGCTGACCTGCTTAAATGCATAGACTTGTGCATTATAATACCTTCGAAAGATAATGAAGCAAATATTAAGTTACACAACAACTATTACATTCCATTCCCAGCTGTCCTCTCCCCACCCTGTCGGCCTATGATTACTACACACAGATAAAGCAAGAACTCACCTTGAAGGTTTTTCTATGAAGTCGAATCCAATAATGTCATCAACACCTAGAGCCTTTAGTTGCAAAATCACATTAGAAAGATTGCAGCGCTTAATCTCTGGCTTTGTTGAGTCCTCAAGTTTCTCAAATTCACTCTCTGGGTAGAGCCGGAAGCACTTTCCAGGCCCTTGTCGTCCTGCACGCCCACTGCAACAATACATCATTAGTTATCAGTATAAATCTCCATGATGTAACGAGCTAACTGAGATGTTGATGGTAATGTTAATTTATGCTGCCAAATTTTCACCAGATAAATTCTTAACAACGACCAACTTCTTGAAGATATTGATTCATATTCACTCTATTTATTTAGAAACTAAAACCCTCTAAGCTTATGCAGTCAACAAGATGCTAAAAAGGAAGAAAACTGATTAGAAAATGCAAAAAATGAAAGGAAAAATCAGGGGAAAGAAGAGAGAACATATATTTATCCTTTCTTTCTTTCCCTCCCCTTCCCTCCACAGCCCCGCCACCACCCCCCACAAAAAGCGAGAACATGTAATTAGCTTCATGAATTTAATTTTTTCATGAAAGAGGAGAAATCTTCCAGGTATACGACAAACAAGAGTTTTTTTTATTATTATATGGACAAAAAAGCTCAATGGATTAAAGAATTTTTGTTAGTTAACAGATTAACCACGCAATCTACCATTTACCTTCATGCAGCAAAAGTTAACGTTTACTCTACATTTGATGGTTGTTAAATAAACACCAGTAAAAACATTCATACTTTACACAACCAAATCTTGTGGGCTGTTAGGTACCAACACAGATTAACAAATTAACAATAGACAGAGGAAATAACTTGTGTTGAAATATTCGGTGATTAAAGGCACCAGATTTTAGGGATTAAATTAGCATGTAAATATGTAAAAATTAGAATTAGTCAACTACTAGAAATCAGGAAAGAAATCAGTATAGGCTAATTTAGGAGACGTTTGGTTCGTGGATTAAAATTATGTGATTAGAATTATTTTCGATTTACGTGTATTTTTTGTGAGAGAAAATACTGTAGCGAACCACGAATCATGATTCGAATCAAGGAACGAATCTAGGTACCAAACATCCTCTTAGTTAGTTTCCTTTTTTCCGTTCCCTATTGTAATTCTATTTAAGTGTATACTCTGTAAAGGTTGAAAGCAATACAATTCATTCTTCTCATTACCTATGTTTATATGGTATCAGAGCAGTCTCTAATTTCCTGAAAAAAACCCTAAGCCGTTTACCACCAAAAAACACCATGTCTGATGCTACTTCTGAGATCACTCCATCATCCGTCACCCAACCAAAAGTGTCCGAGTCCTCAACCCACCCTAACTCTGATTCAAACTCACATTCTGTCCAAATTACCACAATCCGACTGAATGGAGATAATTTCCTACGATGGTCACAATCTGTACGGATGTATATCCGTGGCAGAGGTAAGATCGGGTATTTAACTGGAGACAAGAAGGAACCTTCAAGTGACGATCCCACACTCTGTCTGGGACGCAAAAAATTCGATGGTGATGACATGGCTGGTGAATTCCATGGAGGAGGATATAAGCTCAAACTATATGTGCTATCACACAGCGAAGGAACTCTGGGATAATGTCAACCAAATGTATTCAGATCTGGGAAATCAATCTCAGGTTTTTGAGATCACGCAAAAGCTTGGTGAAATCCGCCAAGGAGATGACAGCATTACAAAGTACTTCAATACTCTGAAGCGGCTCTGGCAGGATCTCGATCTGTTTAGTGATTATGAGTGGAAATCCCCTGAAGATGGCAACCATTACAAGAAAACTGTTGAAGATAATCCGATCTTCAAATTCCTCAGTTGAGTTCGATGAGGTTAGAGGGAGAATTATCGGTAGGAAGCCACTGCCCTCCATTGGAGAAGTCTTTGCTGAAGTGTGTAGGGAGGAGAGTCGTCGTCTTGTTATGCTCGGAAAAAAGGCGCCAAGCAGTCCCATTGAAAACTCAGCACTGGTCGCATCGGAGGCAAACGTGAGCAGGGCTATTCCGAGAAAGAATGAAGAGAAGCCCTGTGTATAGTGTGACTATTGTAACAAGCCTCGTCACACTCGTGAAAATTGCTGGAAGATCCACAGGAAGCCAGCAAATTGGAAGGACAATCGAAAATTCAACCGATCTCCCTCTGCACATGAAGCCGAAGCTGTCCCTTCTATTCCCTTTAGCAAAGAGCAGATGGATCACCTTCTGAAGCTGCTGAAATCCAACCCTGGATCATCTAGTACTCCTAATGCTTCTCTGGCCAATTCAGGTAGTAAACCAAATGCCCTATCCTGTCATTTAAATCTAAGTTCTGCTCCTTGGATCATTGATTCAGGAGCTTCTGATCATATGACCAGTTTTTCACATTTGTTTCATACTTATGTTCCTTGTTCTGGCCTAGAAAAAATCAGGATAGCTGATGGTTCTTTTTCACCCATTGCGGGTAAAGGTTTGATCAATTTAACAAAAAATATTGCACTCAAATCTGTACTTCATGTCCCGAAACTTGCTTGCAATCTTCTATCTATAAGTAAATTGTCTAGAGATTCTAATTGCCGTGTTGTTTTCTTTGAATCTCACTGTGAATTTCAGGAGCAAAACTCGGGGAGGATGATTGGCAGTGCTAAGATGGTAGATGGTCTTTACTACTTTGAAGATGGAATTTCCAACAATAAAAAAGCTCAAGGCTTGAGTAGTATTAGTTCTATCCCTATTAAAGATCAAATTATGCTTTGGCACTATAGGCTAGGGCACCCTAGTTTCCCTTATCTAAGAAAATTGTTTCCTGATTTGTTTAAAGGACTTGGATTGTTCATCCCTTTATTGTGAAAACTGCATTTTATCAAAAAGTCATCGTTCTAGTTATCCTTTAAAATCTTATCAAGCCTCACGGCCATTTTATTTAATCCATAGTGATGTGTGGGGTCCCTCAAGGATCAAAACAATGTTTGGCAAAAGATGGTTTGTTACTTTCATTGATGACCACACGTTTATGTTGGGTCTACTTAATGCGTAAAAATCAAAAGTTGAAAATCTTTTTAAAAAATTTTATGCAATGATTGAAACACAATTTCAAACAAAAATCTGCATACTCCACACAAATAATGGCACTGAATATTTCAATGAAGTGCTAGGAAGTTTTTTAAAAGAAAAAGAGATTCATCATCAATCCACTTGTGTTGATACATCTCAGCAAAATGGTATTGCTGAGAGAAAAAATAAACATTTACTTGAGGTTTCACATGCTCTCATGTTTTCAATGCATACACCTAAATATCTATGGGGAGAGGCCATTCTAACAGCATGTTACCTAATTAACAGAATGCTTGCTCGTGTTCTAAATTATACTACTCCGTTTGAGTATTTTAGGAAACAATCCGACTTCAATCCAATAACACGACTCCAATCCAACCTCCCTTTAAAGGTTTTCGGCTGCACTGTCTTTGTGCATTTACCAAGTACAAATCGATCAAAACTGACCCTAGAGCTGAAAAATGTGTCTTCATAGGATATGCTCCAAATAAAAAGGGGTACAAGTGTTTTAATCCAAAAACAAAGAAAATTTTTGTCAGCATGGACGTTACTTTTGTTGAAAAACAACCTTATTTTCAAAACAATTTTCTTCAGGGGGAGAAGGAACATGATGAAGAAAATTTTTGGGAAATTCTTCCAACTCCTTTACCTAAACCAATTACTTTTGAATCATCACCCATGTCAAAACAAGATGCTAATATTACTTCATATCCGAATAATAGTGATGTTCCCAACCAAAGTCTGCCAAACTTAGTTGACTCTTCGACAGGGGGAGAAATACTACCTACGGTTCCAAGAGAATCTAACTCAGAGCTTCTAGTTTATTCCAGGAAAAGATATCATCAAAGAGGAAGAGATCCATCTATTATCATAGCACAAGATCAATCAAAATCTCCGAGCGATGAATTCCTAAAAGGATCAAGTACACAAATTCAAACTTTGCCAACCATTCCTCCTTCTTTATCATCTATTCCTGAGTCTAATGAAATTGATATACAGCCTCGGGATCTTGATATCCCTATAGCTCATAGAAAACGAACCCGTTCTTGCACCATTCATCCTATTGCAAAATATCTCTCATATCATAAACTTTCCCATAATTATAGGGCTTTCATTTCAAAGATCTCACACTTGATTGTTCCAAGAAACATTCAGGAAGCACTTAATAATCCAGATTGGAAATTGGCAGTGATGGAAGAGATGAATGCTCTTAGAAAAAGTGGAACGTAGGAAGTAGTGGACCTGCCCAAAGAAAAGAAAACTGTTGGTTGCAAGTGGGTATTTACCATAAAATGTAAAGCTGATGGAAGTTTGGAGAGATATAAAGCGAGGCTTGTAGCAAAGGGATTCACACAGACTTATGGAATTGACTACCAGAAAACATTTGCTCCAGTAGCTAAAATGAATTCAATCCATGTACTGTTGTCATTGGCAGTCAACTCCAATTGGCCCTTATATCAGTTGGATGTAAAAAATGCCTTCCTAAATGGCGATTTGGAAGAGGAAGTGTTATGAGCTTACCACCTGGTTTTGAAGATAAGTTTGGCCAAAGAAAAGTTTGCAGACTTAAGAAAACCCTGTATGGTCTTAAACAGTCTCCTAGAGCGTGGTTTGAACGTTTTGGGAGAACTGTGAAAGACTATGGATACTATCAAAGTCAAGTAGATCACACCATGTTTTATAAACATACAGAAAATGGCAAACTATCTATTTTAATTGTTTATATGGATGATATAATCATGACAGGAGATGACATAGAAGAACTAGCAAGGTTGAAGAAAAAACTTGTTGATAACTTCGAAATCAAAGATCTTGGAGCACTGAAGCACTTTCTCGGAATGGAGTTTGCCCAATCTAAAGAAGGTATATTTGTAAACCAACGGAAATATATCCTTGACCTACTTGGAGAAACAGGACTTCTTGGCTGCAAGACTGCTGAAACTCCAATCGATGCCAACTTAAGACTTGAAGCTGCTAAACCCGAGGAAGTAATCGACAGAGAAAAATACTATTGACTGGTGGGAAAACTCATCTACTTATCACACACACGTCCAGACATTGCATTTGCAGTAAGTATGGTGAGCCAATTCATGCACTTACCAGGGCAGGAACACTCTGAGGCTGTCTACAGAATTTTAAGATACCTAAAGGGGACTCCAGGAAAAGGTTTGCTGTTTAAAAACCGTGGACATTTACAGGTTGAAGTCTATACCGATGCAGATTGGGCAGGAAGCACGACTGACAGACGATCAACTTCAGGCTATTGTACGTTTGTTGGGGGAAACCTTGTTACTTGGCAAAGCAAAAAACAGTGTGTAGTTGCAAGAAGTAGCGCAGAAGCAAAATTCAGGTCACTGGCTCATGGAATTTGTGAAGTAATTTGGATAAAGAGGCTCCTTGAGGACTTGAAGATTTCTCCTAGTTTACCCATAAGGGTCTATTGCGACAATAAAGCTGCTATCTCAATTGCTCATAACCCAGTTCTCCATGACAGAACCAAGCATATTGAGGTGGACAAACACTTTATCAAAGAGAAAATAGAAAACGGCCTAATTTGCGTACCCTATGTTCCGACTACTAAACAAGCTGTTGATATACTCACTAAAGGATTGCACAAAAAGGAGTTTGATAGGTTGATAAGCAAGCTAGCTATGGAAGACATCTACAAGCCAACTTTAGGGGGAGTGTTGAAATATTCGGTGATTAAAGGCACCAGATTTTAGGGATTAAATTAGCATGTAAATATGAAAAAATTAGAATTAGTCAACTACTAGAAATCAGGAAAGAAATCAGTATAGGCTAATTTAGTTAGTTTCCTTTTTTCCGTTCCCTATTGTAATTCTATTTAAGTGTATACTCTGTAAAGGTTGAAAGCAATACAATTCATTCTTCTCATTACCTACGTTTATAACTTGAAAATGGGTCAAGCTCCTTTTATTTAGCTCACATACATCTCTCATAAGAGAGGAATTCCATTCACAGAGAAGCAAGAAAATCGCAAAGAACAATGGAGAATTCGAGGTTCCCCTTCCTCCCAATGGTATGCTAACAGTATTTTCCCAATCAACAGACAACCCTTTCCCATGCTACTACACTCCCTAAATATTCCATAACCAACTTGACACCTCAGCGCCCCTTTTCCATATTTCCACTTCCAATCCCATTTTCCTGGAAAGTCCCCCCACGGCCCTTCCTCTTAGAATAGACCAACGTAACAGGTAGCCTAACACGGGCATTCATACCTTCTTTGAAGAGCCTGTGCCTTTGAAATTGGAACAACAATCAGTGATTCCAACCCATTCTTTGGATCATATGAGCGTGCCTTTACAAACCCTGGATCTACAACGTACTTGATCCCAGGAATCGTCACTGATGTCTCAGCAATATTCGTTGCCAATATCACCTAAAGAAAACAAGCAATAGCATAGATAAGTAATTGCATAAATAAGCATATCCGAATTCCTTTTTGAATATTACAAAAAAGATTTTGACTTATCCAGAGTTGACTTTGAAGCGCAGACCAAAGGAAAGGAATGACAAAATCTAGAGACTGTTATGGAGGATGCCGCATGTGATTGTGTGGCAAAAAGAGAAACAACAAGAACAGCAAAAAGAGTAGATGTGGCGTGACTACCAATAGTCTGGCATCAGCAACAGTGGCAATGACAATGAAGTGGAAAATCCCAAATACAATTTCCAAAAAATCAAATCCACAGATAATTTTTCCCGCAACAATCAACCTTTTGAAGCTAATATTAAAGGTTAAGAAGTTCAAAAATAAAAACTTTGAAGTCTCAGATTAAGCACCTATCATGTTTTCCAATACATCCAATTGCTACTTATTAAAATGCAATCAATAGTAAAGTTTGTAGATATACATATATATATCAAGAAGTACCTTTCGATACCCAGCTGGCGCTGGTGCAAAAACTCGCATCTGCTGTTCTGATGGAAGGGATGAAAATATAGGAACCGCTACTAGCTTTCTGTTGTTTTCAGGTAACTGTTGAAGTCGCTCTTTGATAAGTCTTTCAACAGATTCAATCTCTTCCTGTCCCGTCAAAAATACAAGGACGTCACCAGGGCCCTCCTCCAGATGAATCTAACAATATTCAACAATGCACGTATATTTTATTATTACTTTCCCTTTTCCCTTTTTTTGTTAGGAGAAAAAAAAAAGATCATCATTTTAAAGTAAACCACATCAAGACCAAATATGACTATTGATTAAAGAGAGAGAAAATACAGTGTCAACGGAAGATAATACTGGGAGAAAATTTGTTACTCAAAAAACTAATAGGACAATTTTTTTTCCACATCATTAAAACTCATAAAGTTGTCAGATACTTGAGTCTGACTGCACTAAAGTGTGAAAAGAATGAAAATTGAATACATCATCAAGTTAAGACCACTACACAAAGCAAATAGATTATAACTAGCAACGTACATCTTCTCCTGAATCAAACTGAATTTAAATGAATCAAATGTCCAAGTACTGAATTTAGAACTCGCAAAAATAACAAGATAACAAGTTTAATTGACGCAGGTATTTGAGATAAGTAGTAAACAAACACCTGGAATACAGTAATTAAAGTGGCATCTAAATAATCTGGCTCGGGATGATGAGTATAAAGTATATCCACAGGAAACTGTCGCCCTTGGACATGAACAGCTCTTGCACCACCAAAGTAATCAGAGAAGACACGTGCATCCAAAC